TCAGATCATTCTCATCTGCACATTTTCAGAGCCAGTAGATGACACGGCCGAAACACCTTCACCACAAGCCTCAGAACCAGTATTGTATGAGATTGAGGCAAGTAGTGAAGCAGAAGATTGAAGTGCTGTAGGAATTGTACTGCATTTTTAATGCAATGAATTTTCTGTCTCTCTAAATCTGATTCTGATGGATAGTAAATATTGGATCAATTCTTTCGGAAAGTTTTGAAACCTTCAGAATGTTTGAAACGTCGCTTTACATGGTGACATCTCGTAGTCACGTATTCATTTTTTTTTTATTAATTATGTTTTCAGTAAACAAATACAGTCAATAGGTGCTGTTCGTCATCTTTGAAAACACAACATATGCCGGTTTATGCAGGTGGAACTATCCTCAGAATCTGAAGAAGACAGGCCATTGAATCTGCGAAAATGGGGCCCTGCAAAAAAACAAGGCTCCCAAAAGAAGGTGAATGGTCTGATTTTTATTCTTAGCATCGCGGATGTACAGTCCTTTTCTATTCTGGGGCAGCCTGCTTTTCATAACCGGACTGATGGAATTTGTGGTGGTGAAGAGTTATATGCTTTCATGTCGATTTATTTTATTCATGTTTATGCTGATATGCAAAAAGTAGTTAGCAAATTCACCTCCCAGAAATATGGTAAAAAGTGAATAAACAAATAACGATTTAGCACTGCTGTTTTATACATGCATTTTCAAAAATGTAATTTAAATGTATTCTAAAAGTATTCTGAATGCAGTGCTTTCTAAAACATCAAATAGCTAGCTAGCATTTTAGCTCCGCTGCTTCCTATGGTGGTTTATGCTGCTCGTCAGCTTTTAAAACACAACATATGCTGTTTTATCCAGGTGGAGTTATTTTTTTCGTGATTTTCAAGTTTTTTTTTCCCCCATGGTGAAAACTGGAAAAATTTTGGTTTATTTTTTATGCATACCTGGACTTTTTTTTGTGAATTTGTTGTGAATTTCACACAGAGCTAAAACGATTTAATCACTGTTCTTTTTCATCCCACCAGAAAAAGCAGGCTGGAGTTTGTAACACAAGCCGACAAGAAAGAGTACTCTCAGATTATCAAAGCACAGACAACTCAGAAGTTGAAGTAAGGCCACCGAACGGGCAAAAACTGGATACTGCAATTCAACTCCGCTCCCAAAAAAAGGTGAATAGTCAAATTTTTACTTTTAGCATTGTGAATGTACAGTACTTTTCTATTCTGAAGCAGCCTGTTTTTCAGAACCTGATTGAATGATTTAGTTGTGGGAAAAAGTTATGTCCTTTCATGTTGATATTTTATCCATGTTCATGCTGATTTGAAAAAAGTAAATAGCAAATTCATCTCCCAGAAATATGCCAACAAATTATGGTACAGCACGGCTGTTTTGCACATGCATTTTCAAAAATGCCATTTAAATGTACAGTAAAACCTTGGATTGCGAGTAACTTGGTCTGCGAGTGTTTTGCAAGATGAGCAATAATTTGTAGTAAATTTTAACTTGATAAACGAGCGAGGTCTTGCAATATGAGTATTACGTATACACTTTGCCTAGCATCACGTAATCACAACTGAGCCAATGGTTCTTCACTCTCTCTCTCACTTTCGCTGTGGGATTGTGGGTAATCGTTTCCCATGCTCGGTCTCAGTCGGCATACCTCACTCGTATAGTCAAAATTTAGTAGAGAAGCACCACCCGAATAAGGGTGTAGCAGTGCGAGCGACGAATCTGTATAATGACAATCTAATGTCTACATTTCCGCAAAATCAAGAAGGAGGCAAAAGCAGTTGTCATTGGAGGCAAAAGCAGTTGTTCCTTGTTAAAGTCGCACAAAAAGAGAAAGATTCCAGTGAGCCAACAGATAGCAGTGATTCCCTTAGTTATAGTGAAAGTTGTCCTATAAAATAACCCTACTCTTCTCCTCTCTCTCGTCTCCCTCACACCATCCACGATTCTTTTCATAGGTAAAGTGCAGGTTAATTTGTTTAATGTATTTTTACGTTATATTTTGTATAAATCGTTTTTTTATGAATATTTTTGTGTTGTGGAATGAATCGTCTCAGTTTCCATTATTTCTAATGGGAAAATTTGCTTTGATATCCACAGTATTCCTGAGTTTGTGCCATTACCCCTGATTCATAGCGGAACACATGCGTTTTTGTTAAAGATAATTATTTCTTGATGAAGGATTTTTTTTTCTTGGAATAAATTTATGTTAATGAAAGGTTGGATTTGGTGTGACATGAAGCTGCTTCACCAAAAGGTGGATTTTTTTCTAGCCTTTTTTACAAATCTTTACAAGGGGTGCTAATAATTGTGGAGGGCGCTGTAGCTAGCATTTTAGCTCCGCTGCTGCCTTTGGTGGTTTATGCTGCTTATCAGCTTTTAAAACACAACATATGCTGGTTAATGCAGGTGGAATTACATTTTTTCATGATTTTCGAAAAAAAATTTCCCCATGGTGAAAACTGGAAAAA